TTCTAGCGTTGTAAGTCCGCAGACATACCGCTGTGCCACTAGGGGGGGCAGACTTAATGAAGTAGATATTTTAATTTTCATCAAATTACCATCAGCGGTAAGTTTGGCGGTTTATGACGTTTAAAATCGGGTTTCGATACCCATGCTGAGGGAAACAGCACAGATAGCTCTTTGTGTAGCTTTGCGCTTAACAATAAACAAACATTTCGTATTAGAACTGGATCGTACGTTTTTCTTTTTTATAAAAGCAGAAATTCTTATGTAATTTCGCTCGTCGATTTATACGCAATACAGTGACTTAAAGAATTTTCTTGGGAAATATAATATGATGTCTATAAATTGGCTTGTTCGAGACAACTTCGGATGATACATTACGAAGGAGAGAATTCACTCAAACCATGTTTCAAAGAATTATTTATCCTAATAAACAGGTATCATTTCACATCAAACTAATGTCTGCAATTTTCATATTTAAAACTCTTTAGTCTAAAATCAATTCAAAATCGTGTTTTTGTTTTTTATCTTTTGTTACCTATCATTCCTGTCAGCCCCCCCCCCCCAGTGGCATAGCGGTATGTCTGCGGACTTACAATGCTAGAATCCGGGTTTCGATACCCGTGGTGGGCAGAGCAGAGATAGCCCATTGTGTAGCTTTGTGCTTAATTACAAACAAAACATTCCTGTCAGTTGAGCCAAGGTAAGCAATAATCTTAGATCTTCATAACTACTGTAAACGTTCAGTTCATGGAATTCATAGAAAAATGAAACAAGAAAAAGAAAAACTTATGAAAATATTTTTCATTTACTAAACCAGATTACTCAGTGTCTAAAATGAACTGATGAAACTAGATTTAAAGCTAAACCATATAATATATGTGATAAACATACTTTCGCTGTAATTGCTGGGAAAATGGAAACTGAAAAAATAACCCTCCAGTGGCACTGCGGTACATCTGTGGACTTACAACGCTAGAAACCGGGTTTCGCTACCCGTGGTGATCAGATAACAGATAGCCAGTTGTATAACTCTGTGCTTAACTTCAAACAAACAAACAAAACTAAAAAAAATATTTTGAAGATTTTTCGAAGTGTGACGTAATAGAAATGACACATGACAACTATGGTTTTATATTTGCTACAGATGTCAAATGACTATTTTTTACTAAATTATCTAATTATAGGCTTAACGCTATTTCATAAGCCTTTAAACCAAACGCTTTTGTAAGTAGTAATAACAATATTCGGCCAATATTAACCTACCAAGCAATAACACTATGGAAGTTTCAAATGTAAACCAGATTACCGTATTATCTTACCTGATTTATATATATTCAAACTTAAGATATCATAACAGTTTTAAAACTAAACAACCATTAATTTTGCAAACTCGGTAACTGCAAATTCAACTTCTCAATCTTTCGCTTGTTAAAACCACTAAAACACTAAAACGAATTATTTGTACATGAAACGTTTGTTTTATATTTGTTACAGAAGTAAAGTTTAGTGTGACTTTTTTTCGGTTTGTATCACTAAATGTTGAATAAGCAGCAGTACAGTTTACGGGCGTGTTTCAGTGTAATATATCAAAGTTATTTCGATTAGGCAGTAAGTAAGAGACTGCTTAATTTTAGCACAGTCGGGTGGGAGGTTGACCTCCTCAACAAGCACTTGTAGCTTATACGTCCCCAATGTTTTGACACGGGTCTTGTCCCGTACTCAAGGGTTTAATCAGCTCGTGAACGCGTATGTTTAGAATGATGGATTGTTCATTTCGCGCGTCGAGACGTTGCGTTATAGCATGTTTACTGGACTGTGACGTGAAATTTCTAATTTCACGCAGTTTCCGGGTGTATTGTAAGTAGGCAGTTCAAAAACTTGCTGAAACAAGTTTAAGACAGGATACTTCAAAACAATACCGATTTTTGGCTTAAGTGATTTTTTTATGTAACTTTTCCTTTAAATTTAGTTCAGCGTGGTTCGTTCCAGAATGATATAACGAAACATTTACTTTCGTACTGAACAGTTAGAGCAAAATCTTGAGTTCCTAAATCCCTAGATAAACATAAGTAGTCACAGTGACACATAAGATTGTACGTTATAAAGCACTGTTAAAACGTTGTGTCGTAAATTTACAAAAACACCTCAAACACAAGCTTGTGTAACCTATAACACAGTTGACTGTTGTAGCGATATTCACACAAAATTTGTATGTTTTTAACAATACAAAATTACGTGATTTTCACTACAGAATTGTTCTTAGTTAAATATATTGTTTTGTTGTGTAGACACATTTATATTGTGATGTAGATTGTATAAAATGGAACAAAAGATTGTACATCAGCTATCACATCTGTTAGCTCACAATGACTGTGTTGTTCTTTTGAACTGTGAGCATCATATACAGGACACAAGTTGTCTTGATTTTAACATACGATTCTTTAAAATGAGCTTAGCGTTGAACATGAGATATGTCTGTGTATAGTATTTTAGAACTTTTGTATACGAAAGGTAACAAATAAAGGTACACATATTAGTAAGCTTATTCGGGTGTTTCCATTGCTTTCACTATTTAGTTTTTAGTAAGTTAACATTTTTATATGGTTTATTGTTTTGATTGTTCATGAATATTAACTTTTAAGTTTTTCTCTAGTGACAACAAATGCCAATATCACTCTTTACGTCGGCTTTTTGTCGCCTTGGCTGTGTTTCTGATGGTATTGATTACTATGATATTTGTCGTTCGCCGCATCAAAGGCAGAGATTTGTCTTTCTATAATACTGGCGAAACAGGTAGGTGTCGCTTTTATTTATTTATATAATTATTTTTAATTACTGGAAGTTGCTCAGTGTTCAAACACATGTTGGTCACAAACCTGGAAAACCTGAAAAAATCAGAGAATTTGAAAAAGGATTCAAAATGCTATTTAGCTATGCCAGAAATCAATATATTTTAACACAATTTTACATGAAGTTGTGTTAGCTCGGGAGGAAAAGTTGAAATATCAATATGTCGTGTGAGCATGTGTGCATGTTTAGAAAATCTAGAATTTGCCATAAAAAGTCAAGGGAAAGAATTGGACAAAAAATGTAGTCACCCTGTATGAGTTCATATCTTTATGGTAAGGTATCAACAAAAAATCTTAAGCCTCCCAGTAGCTTAACCAAACGCATCTAGTCACATTGTCATGTTACAAAGCAGACTAACATAAAAAAGAAAAATCTTACAAAGTCCGTGTTTGACAGCTGATCCAGCTAAGACTGCATTATTTGAAAATAAGACAATAAAACGGGAATGACTTATACTTATTCATCTTGGTAACTGGTGTTAAACAACTTATATTAATTCATTTTTATCAAAGCATCAATTTCAAATTGATAACTAGAAGATCCTGGCCACAAACATTCTACTGGGCGTAAAGTTAAAGATAGTAAGCAACATGCATTCTGATTATGATATTTATTTATCACGTGATCAGTGCAAGATTTATTTTCACTCTTAGCTTGTGAAGCGCATATGTGATTACGTTTTTTTTTTGGTTTTGGTTTTTTTTTCTCAGACGAACCTGTTATGTTCATTAAGCATCGCTACGTTTTCCCTAATTATTTCAACTGCTTAAAGAGAAACAAAAATAGCTTTAACATTTACTATAGGTATTATTTATAAAATATTCGAATAAAGAAAAACAAACTAAAAACGTATCATATTTACAACAATGCTGTATATGTTAGATATTTACAGCTAAATTCTCTATATTTTTACACTTATAGATGAAATTCATATTTTTCATGATTCCTCAAAAGTATTTTAACTTCACCCTCTAGAGACTAAATAATCCTACGTCGTTTTCCGTATCATTTCCTTGGTTAAAAACACTAGTATATGGCGTTTTGCCAGCAAAAATAGATACTTCATTGTAAAAAGGAACAAGGTACTCAGATCTAAGGAACGGAACATCACATCCGTATTTAATGTATTAAAAAAAAGAGTCTCTGTAGATCAGCAGGAACTATTCTTTGAAACTGATAAAAAAATTTAGATTTTATGCCTCCAAGTTGATCGTATTTATAAATCAGTAAACCATAGATCGGTAATCTTCTGAATGCAACCATAATATAAAACCTCACAAATACTTTTTTGTAAAGGAATTTAAGGTTACTGGTATAGACAGAAATATGGGCTAAGCATAAACATGAACTCTCATGAACATACATGACATTTAGAGACGCAAAATTGGATAAGCTCTAGAAATTATCGGCCTGGCTGAAAAAGCTCTAATTATTTCGGTTTCGTTTACAGGTAAACCTAAAACGCTCTGTCTAACCGCAATTTTCAGAAATCAACCAAAACAATCCGGTTGTAAGAACAAACCGTAAGTTTGGTGATTAATAATTCTGAAGCAAGCAAACTGTCATAAGCAGACTTCAAGTAACGTCAACGTCAAGATTTTCGATATTTCCCTTAAATATTTCTTTATTAGTAACGTTATAACAATTAAGTGATTCATTCTTAAATATTTGGAGAAATGGAAAGATGTTCTTTAAGAAACAAAATTAAAATATCATCAGATTATTCTGTGTCACAGTATACGCTTAAATCGATTAGTTTTCTCTCCTCAGCAAGAGAAATCACATACGTTTTTCCAAGGACATACTTTTTCCCTCTATTATTTATCAGGATTCGTTGCACTTCAACCTGACCTGACCCAGAACTCTTTAAGTGTTCCACCACACTTACGTCACGGAAATCAAAACGAGCCAAACAACGGAGAAAAATCGGGCCTCCTCCCCTGCAATAAAAACTCCACCACAAGTGCCCCTCTCCATTCCTCCCAAACATGCAGCACCCATTGTTCTACAAAAATGCTTCCTCGCACAGAATCCCCTCTTTCTGGGTTATTGTCGGTTTCAGGTAAGCACGTGATAGTTCAGTAGTTTTCTAGTTAAATTGTAGGGAAAGCTGACTTTAACTAAAAGTATTGGAAAAGAAACTGCACTAGTGGTTCAACAAATTATTTACAGAAACTACACTAGTGGTTCAACAAATTATTTAAAGAAACTAAGAGCTACATTGAGTTACAACGAGGGATAAGAAGTACAGAATAATTTATATGTACTTAGGCTTAGAAAAATCTATGGAATTAGTACTATCAGGAGTGCCATTTCAGATTTCAATGTGAGGCAGGGAAGTAAATTTAATTGGAGGTGAACGGGAGTTAGGTTCCCTGGATGTTCTTGGATTCTTTAAAGGCTAAAATGTAAATATCGTATTAATTTAGAAGCATTTGCTCTGACGATTTTTATATCATTTAATATTCTTATAAATAGTGCAAATTACACATTTAATATGTATGCATTGTTCTAAAAATTAAAATATATTATAAAACACGGGAGGGGGGTAATTCCCCCTGTCCTACCTAAATGGCGACCCTGGTTACTATTGTCTTGTGATGATATAGTTTTTTGTAGACATTCATGAAATATTAGCCTAACTTACGTAGGATAGTAATAACTTTAAGCGCTTGTGAATATGTTCGAAAAACTCCCCGAATTCTATACAACTCTATGTATGTATTAACATATATTTCTTTCCATAATAATTTGTGACTTCACGTATGTATTTTTCATATTAGCATCATGTTAAAGCACAACTACGAACTACTGTACAAAATTACTTTGTATTTTTAGAACTTTCTTAGCGTCCGTTAAATAATTAACGTGTAATTTCACTACAGAATCACAAACAGATTCGAAGTGTGACTCAGGTATAATTACAAACGGGAAATCAACGATATCTTTTTTGCTGCCACCTGGTATCGATATAGAATGTTTATCGTGGAAGTTTGTTACAAGAACTGGAGCTAAAATATCACTGCCGCATTTGGGTAAGATTACTTACGATATTTTAATGTTTTATCAATACCCTCAAGCTTCAACTAATTAATTAGGACTTTACACTGTGGGGAGTACGAAGTCATATTGTTAAAATCATCATTATATAAAAGCGACTAATAGGATATCCTTTGAGAACTTATGAAATATTCTTTACATTAATTGCAAAAAAAAGACAGATTTGTTTAATTATAAAATATTCATTGCTTTCATAAAAAAAATTCTCGTCAAAATCAGCAGATATATAATGTTGTTCGCAAAAGGATCCAACAAAACTGACAATGAACTTTTCTGCACCCTGTTTATTTTTGCTTTATTTGTAAAAAAACAACAGGTTTCCCTAAATGTAAGTTGTTGTTTTTTGTCCCTGTTCAGGAATAGTTGTCACTGTACCCAAAGGTGCAGTAAAAAGAGGAGCCAAAGAAGAGATTTATGTGGCTCTCTTGAGAGAAGACAAGGATCGTCCAAAGTTAAGTGGTAAGTATTCTTTGTGAGTTGTTGAAGTGTCAATAGCTTTATCTTTTGCCACTGTATTCTTCGACGTGTGATGCGCCTTTCTTTATGGTCTATTGTGGAACAAGTCGAGCAAGTGTTTAATATTTGAAGAGGCGTAACGATGAAACTCATCATTTGATTTGAAGCAACGTATAAAAAATTAATTGTATGTTTGATTACACGCATAGTAGCATATTTAGTCTATTAATTAAACAACAATTTATTTAATATCCGTTTAACTGTTTTAAGTTTATGTTTCTCTTAATAAACACAGTAACTGTCTATTTGCGTTAAAACAGAGATAACTTCTTTTGCTGTTTAATTCAAACAATTAATAGAAGCTACAGTTCAAGTAATGATCGATAACTTAATATTTGTTTCACAAAACTCGTAGAGTAGGTAAAATACATTTCAAAATATTTTGGTCTTATAATTATTATAAAGTTAGGTAGGTTGTTACATTAAGATGACAACAGTGATCTATACGTTAACAGATAAACAAACTATCCTCAGTCCAGTGGTGCAAATTGGGCCTCCTGGTATCAGTTTACAGAAACCATTGATCATCAGTTTTCAGCATTGTGCCAATCTTACCCCCTGCAAATGGAACGTTAGTGTCTATTGTAGTGATGCATGCATTGGAGATGAAGAAAGTCTAACGTGGAGAGTAAGTGTTTACTGGCTACTACTCGTATAATATTAATGTAATTATCAAGAAAAATATTTGTTAAAACCGTAGTTTTGTAATTAAATATAGTAATTAGTGTGTTATGTGTTGCAGATGTAAATACTTCTGGAAAAACCCTTTCAGTATGAAAAAGTAAAAAAAAGATATATACATAAAGAAAATCTAAACCAACAAATATAGAGTTATTTAGTAAGGCATATAATATTGTGATTACTTCTCAGTTCTTTGAATATTGCAATTATCAATGCGTCCTTACAAAAATAATTAGTGCTTTGAATAGGAAGATTACAAGTTGTGTTATAATAAGCAAAGACGGGACCAATAAGTTGTGTACAATATAGATGCTTACGTATTTACAACAAAGAGGTTCCTATAAGGCATTCAATCAAGTAATAGCTTGACGACTTCCAAACACTAGATTTATTTTAAATGCTAAACCATAAACTATGTTGAAAGTTAGTAAGGAATCTGTTGCGAATGGATTGCAAGTTTCGTGGCTACGTAGCAAATTAAAAGGTGGACACATCGTTGTAAGCTCAAGGAAATACTGCATTGTATTGCTTTTAAAAATAGTTTTTTGTGTTGTTTTTTTATATGAAATTGTAATGGCAATATCAGATTTTAAAGCATCAGATACAGTAACATAATTTATTTGGAATACGTATAACGTTCTTGAAGAACTTTTTTTTTTTGCTAACAATGCTTATGTGTAAATTTGTGTTGTTTTTCAGGAACTCATTACGTTAGGTCAGGAGACTATCAACACTCCACTTTACTGTCAACTAGATGGACAACAATGTCACTTTGTGACGGATCATTTAGCCCGCTATGCATTGGTTGGAGAATCAGTAACGAAACAAAAGGCTGTGAAGTCGCTTACGTTGGCAGCTTTCGCGCCATCTTTAAACTCCTCCGTAGACTACAACATACGTCTCTACTGTGTGGAAAACACATATGCTGCTCTGCAGGTTTGTAGAGTGATGAGCGCTAGTATTGTTAGGCATATAAGTCTTCTTATGCATAAGTTAATTAACTAAAAATACGCGTATATAAATACACAATAAAGCTCACACTGAAAGTATTTCTTTCTAGTTTATTAACAAAAAAAAACCTGATGTCAGTGTTCAAATGCTTTACACATCTTTAACAATCAGCATGTTTTTCTAAATGCTACGTCTACATAATTATCTTTGTTATCACGATTTCTCAAAAGTATGAAGTTATTAAACCCACTTCTATTTGGACTGCATCAAGATCATTCTTCTAGTATTTTGGTTCGTTGTGTTTGAAATAAGACTAAAAATAATAAATACTTAAATCTATAACACACAATCTTTTGTCTACTGTCACGAAATAAAAAAATGAAAACTTCTTTATTATTTTGTTTCATAGACAAAATTTGCGGAATTTTTAAAATTTGAATTAAACCAAAAATTTCAAACACTGTTATAACTAGAATCAGATAGATTAAAAGTATATAACTGTAGAAGTTATACAATTGGTGTCTAATAATCTCAAATGCGAAATTTGTTTTTATTTGTCAATAACGAAAACATATGTGCCACAAGAAATCATGACACATCAAAATTTGTATTAATTTTTACACTTTCAATCGACTAATTTTGTGACAAATACGTCCTCACCGTTTTCATTTATATTAACTTTGACTACGTATAACAATACAACTTTTATTTTTATTTTCCAATGGGTTTGTTTGTTTTTGAATTTCGCGCAAAGCTACACGAGGGCTATCTGCGCTAGCCGTCCCTAATTTGGCAGTGTAAGACTAGAGGGAAGGCAACTAGTCATCACCACCCACCGCCAACTCTTGG